ACAGATGTGCACACAGATGACGCAGGGATTCCCGGCATGAATGGCAACTGAGGCAGGACAGGACAGAGCCTGGAAGAGAGGGAAGGCAGCGGGTACTGCACGGGAGACCCAGGGAGCACATGCTGGGACCCGGCTGGGCTCCTGACCCTCGGGGGTTTCATATTGCAGAGCCGTCTTGCCCGGGAATCCGGAATCCGAGTTCTCCCAGGGGTCCCAGGACAATTCCCACACCTGCCTACATTGCCAGTTAAGCACTGGGGTTCGTAAGCCCAGGGAGGGCAGGGGGCAGACAATCACAGTGGCAACAGTGAGCGCCTAGTACCTGTCAAGCACCGGGCTGAGAGCCTTACCTGCACAATCTTACGCAAACTCTGTAACATTCCATTGAGGCTGGTACTATTATCATACCCCATTTTATAATGAAGAAATGGAGGCTCAGAGAGGTTACAGAGCTCTAACTGGCAGAGTCTGTGTGACTCCAAAGTCTGTATATCATCACCACGTCCCTCTGCTACCCCTGACCCTCGGGTGGGTGGCATTGCTAAGTCCAGCTTTTTTCCTCCCTCCTGCTCTGGGACACCCGATGATGAGCAGGGCTGAGCAGAGGAGGAGAGAAGGGGCTCCGAGGGACCCAGCAGGGGACCTGGCCATTATTTCTCTAGAGCAGCCGTGGGCAAACTACTGGGGAGAGGGTCCCTCAGCCCAGCTTGCGTCCTCTCTCAGTCTGGGACCCCTCGATCCTTACCACCTGCCTGCTCGCTGCTCCTTACCTCTCTGCTAACTGCTCCTTAGCATTGCCATGGAGGCGGGAGAAGCTCCCTCCACTGCCGCTGCACTGGCCAGCCATGAGCTTGGCTTCTGGCTGAGCTGCGCTCCCCCTGTGGGAGCACACTGACCAGCAGGGGACAGCTCCTGCGTTGAGCATCTGCCCCTTGGTGATCAGTGCACATCATAGCGACCAGTCATTCTGCCAGTCCTTCCGCAGTTCAGTTGATTTGCATATTAGGCTTTTATTATATAGGATTTGTGTGAGCTCTTATATGTTAAAGATACTAAATCTTTATCAAATATTTGCTGCAAATACATTTTTCCCAGTTTGACTTTTAAAATCTAGGCTCATTAGTGATTTTTCCTATAGCCACATGGATTCCTTTAGATGCCCGTTTTCTTCCTTGTTGGAATTCTATGTTATTTTTATTTCTATAATTTCTTTTTTTAAGAGTCTCTTATTCTTGTTGAGTTATGTTATCCCTAGTGTTTGCAGCCATGGGATCATAATGGCTTCACTTCTAACTTGATTTTTTAAAATATGTTTTCATTTATTTGAGAGAGAGAGAGAGGAAGAAAGAAAGAGAGAAACATTGAGCCCACAATCAGGGCATGTGCCCTGACAGGGAACCTAACCAGCAACTTATTGGTATACAGGACAGACACCCAGGCCCAGGCCTCAGGCTTTTTACTCTGTTGTTAATGCTTACAGGAGTCCAAAAGTCCTTCACAGGTGGTTTATATGCTAATGAGCTCATAGTTTCTGAAAGAGGCTGAAGATTCTCATGCAGGGTTTTCACAGGACAGGGGCACCTCTCAGAACCCCTACTCCTAGGAGTCTGGCCTTTCAGCAGCAATAACAGAACAGCTGACACTGAGTGGCCACTTAAAACAGGCCCCAGCATTCTTCTAAGTGCTTCAGCTGGTGACCTGGTTTGATCAACAACCCCAGGAGGCCGGCACTGTTATTCCCAGCTTTCAGATGAGAAAACAAAGGCCTGGAGTGATTTGCCCACGTGCAGGGCAGAGCTGGGAGGCACACGAGTGGGGCTGCTGGGGGACAGATGTGCACACAGATGACGCAGGGATTCCTGGCATGAATGGCAACTGAGGCAGGACAGGACAGAGCCCGGAAGAGAGGGAAGGCAGCGGGTACTGCACGGGAGACCCAGGGAGCACATGCTGGGACCCGGCTGGGCTCCTGACCCTCGGGGGTTTCATATTGCAGAGCCGTCTTGCCCGGGAATCCGGAATCCGAGTTCTCCCAGGGGTCCCAGGACAATTCCCACACCTGCCTACATTGCCAGTTAAGCACTGGGGTTCGTAAGCCCAGGGAGGGCAGGGGGCAGACAATCACAGTGGCAACAGTGAGCGCCTAGTACCTGTCAAGCACCGGGCTGAGAGCCTTACCTGCACAATCTTACGCAAACTCTGTAACATTCCATTGAGGCTGGTACTATTATCATTTATTGGTATACAGGACAGACACCCAGGCCCAGGCCTCAGGCTTTTTACTCTGTTGTTAATGCTTACAGGAGTCCAAAAGTCCTTCACAGGTGGTTTATATGCTAATGAGCTCATAGTTTCTGAAAGAGGCTGAAGATTCTCATGCAGGGTTTTCACAGGACAGGGGCACCTCTCAGAACCCCTACTCCTAGGAGTCTGGCCTTTCAGCAGCAATAACAGAACAGCTGACACTGAGTGGCCACTTAAAACAGGCCCCAGCATTCTTCTAAGTGCTTCAGCTGGTGACCTGGTTTGATCAACAACCCCAGGAGGCCGGCACTGTTATTCCCAGCTTTCAGATGAGAAAACAAAGGCCTGGAGTGATTTGCCCACGTGCAGGGCAGAGCTGGGAGGCACACGAGTGGGGCTGCTGGGGGACAGATGTGCACACAGATGACGCAGGGATTCCCGGCATGAATGGCAACTGAGGCAGGACAGGACAGAGCCTGGAAGAGAGGGAAGGCAGCGGGTACTGCACGGGAGACCCAGGGAGCACATGCTGGGACCCGGCTGGGCTCCTGACCCTCGGGGGTTTCATATTGCAGAGCCGTCTTGCCCGGGAATCCGGAATCCGAGTTCTCCCAGGGGTCCCAGGACAATTCCCACACCTGCCTACATTGCCAGTTAAGCACTGGGGTTCGTAAGCCCAGGGAGGGCAGGGGGCAGACAATCACAGTGGCAACAGTGAGCGCCTAGTACCTGTCAAGCACCGGGCTGAGAGCCTTACCTGCACAATCTTACGCAAACTCTGTAACATTCCATTGAGGCTGGTACTATTATCATACCCATTTTATAGATGAAGAAATGGAGGCTCAGAGAGGTTACAGAGCTCTAACTGGCAGAGTCTGTGTGACTCCAAAGTCTGTATATCATCACCACGTCCCTCTGCTACCCCTGACCCTCGGGTGGGTGGCATTGCTAAGTCCAGCTTTTTTCCTCCCTCCTGCTCTGGGACACCCGATGATGAGCAGGGCTGAGCAGAGGAGGAGAGAAGGGGCTCCGAGGGACCCAGCAGGGGACCTGGCCATTATTTCTCTAGAGCAGCCGTGGGCAAACTACGGCCCGCGGGCCAGATCCGGCCCGTTTGAAATGAATAAAACTATTGAAATAAAAGACCGTACCCTTTTATGTAATGATGTTTACTTTGAATTTATATTAGTTCACACAAACACTCCATCCATGCTTTTGTTCCGGCCCTCCGGTCCAGTTTAAGAACCCATTGTGGCCCTCAAGTCAAAAAGTTTGCCCACCCCTGGGCGATAAGGAAAAAGATTTGCGGTTTCCAGGCTGTTCTACTGTATCTTCTTCCCACTAATGGAAACTGATAGGCCATGGCCTCCTGTCATGTAGGGCAAAGTGAAGGCCAGATGTTTTCTTAAGGCCACAGACGGCATAGCAAGGAGAGTGGAGGAGATGTATCTTGCTTTGGAATTTCTTTGGGTATTTTTTTTTAATAAGAGAAAATAATGGAATTTCATACATACAGATGTATGGGAACTCTGCATACATGAGCCAGAGACCCCACCTACAGGAGAGGCTCAGAGACAGAAATGGGATTGAGGTATATGAGACATCCTGAGCTAGGAATGAGGTAATGCACCTTGGGGGTTTCGAAGGGTCATTGCAGGATGAGGAGAGATGATTAGTAAATAATAGGTTGCCCTCACATATAGGTGGGTCCAAAAGGTTATCTGTGGTAGTATTTTATGGGCAAGCCCTCTAATTCAAATTCTTCTTGGATGTTAAGGGTGGGAGGCAGAAGTTTCTCTGGAAGTTCAGGGTGGGAGGCTAAAGATGCCTTTAACTCAAAATAATCTGCATATCACACAGGCACATTTTGGGGTGACTTGATCTGGATGCCCCTTCCCCCATAGGGAACCTTTAGATATTTTCATCCAATGTACAAATAACTAGATTTTTATGTTGCTAGTGTCATGTTTAGACACAGGGATTTATCCATTTACTTTTCTTAAGCCAAGTCCTTGTGAGACACACAAAATAGAAAATTGAGGGAACTGGATAAATATACCTGAAATATACAATGATGCCCAAAGAAGTAGGTTTGTTTTTTCTCCTTTAAATTGATTAGATCTATATTTAAATGTTCTATTTAATTTCAATTTGGTAATAAACTAAGCTGTAGAGATTATTTAGTTTAAAAGATAAAACAAAAGTGAAGAGTCTGTAATTAAAAAATTAAACAGAATGTGACACTTATTTCAGCAAACTGGAGGAATACTTCAAATAGATTAAGTGGGCAACTGCACAAATGTCCTCCAAAAGCCTAAAAAGTCCTAAGAATGACCTAAAAACTACACATTTTACTCCAATAGCACTACCTAGAAGACTACTACAACCTTGCAAAAGACGCAAAACAGTTTGCTAAAAGGAAGGACAGTAGCCCTGTTGTTAAAAAAATCCAAGAAATGCAGAAGTTTCTGGGGCTGAAGGTGACAGGGAAGCTGGACTCAGACACGCTGCAGGTGATGCACAAGCCCAGGTGCGGAGTCCCTGACATCAGAGAATTCAGGACCTTTCCCGGCATGCCAAAGTGGAGGAAGACTCACCTCACCTACAGGTAATGAATGGGTTCTGAGAGGTTTCCACATAACACTGAGATTTGATAAGGGGCTATGTCAGGAGAAAATATTATCTTCTTCAATTGTCCTCATTCAGGATTGTGGATTACACACCGGATTTGCCAAGAGATGCTGTTGATTCTGCCATTGAGAAAGCTCTGAAAGTCTGGGAGGAAGTGACTCCACTGACATTCTCCAGGATCTATGAAAGAGAGGCTGACATAATGATCACTTTTGCAGTTAGAAGTAAGAAACAAAATCAAGCAACATTAACAACAAAAACATGAAATGCATCTATTTACTTGGTGGTATTTTATTGGAAAAGTTTCCAAAGTGATTGTAGTTACCCTTCTTTCCAGTAAAAATTTTTTTTTCTCTATTAGATCATGGAGACTTTTTCGATTTTGATGGACCTGGAAAGGTTTTGGCTCATGCCTATCCACCCGGGCCAGGGATTAATGGAGATGCTCACTTTGATGATGACGAACAATGGACAAAGGATACATCAGGTTAGTATTATGTCTCTCAGAATGATTTTTTTTATATTTGGAAAATTATTAATAAGTAAGAACATTCAAGGAATGGGTTTTTTAATATTTGCTGATGGTTCAAGGACCAGCAGAATATATTTTTGTTGTAATCATTATTAACAACATTTTCAGATGTCTAAAAATGTTTATTATTTTCTGTCTAGGTGAGAACATTATAGGAAGCATCATTAAGTATTTCTTTGATGAATCTGGTTCTTGTGTGATCTTAAACCATCAGTAAAAACAATTTCTCATTATATCAAACAGCAGATATTCAAATTGTAGATTGTATCACATTGAATCTACACTAACATGTGCCCTGGATATTGATTATATCCAACTGGGGAAATGTCCCCCAATTACTTCTTTACTCTTCCAAACAGAAATGAGAATTAAATTCCAGAAACTGAGGTTTCAGTTCAGGTTTTTCTGGTTAAAATGACATTTTACTCTTTCTAGGTTAAAAAGGGTTTTTGTGGTTTTATTCTGAAGGAAAGGAGCAACCCCCAAATAAAATGTTTCTCAGTTTATAACTGGACTAGAGGCCCAGTGCATGAATTCGTGCACAGGTGGGGTCCAGCCGGCCAGCCCCAATCAGGGCCAATTGGGCTGGGCTGGCTGAGGGGAGGGGTTGCGGGTGGTTGGCTGGCAGACCTCATACCCTGGTCGAACTCCCGGTGGAGGGAAAAATTTGCATATTAGCCTTTTATTATATAGGATACTTTGAGGTATAGCTTCCAAAGTTTCAAACAATTGGCTAAAATAAATACTCCTGAAATTTAATTGGGATTTATAATAAAAATTCAAACAGAATCCCTGTAGAGAGTACAAATGTGAGGTTAGTTAATGCTGGATAAAAGCCTTAGTTTGATTGAATTAGCAACTTCTTCCTTCAAAGGAACATTCCTGCAAAGTCTCAAATGAGAACTTTAAAAGTAAAGTCCACTTACTTGGCATTTCAGTCCTAATTACCCAATGCCTTCCAATTATCAGCATGCTAATTTATTCTTATAACATGAAGAAAAAAAATCTGAATACAGCAAGTGTTTGTGCGGCCAAAATCTCTTATGACAAATGCTAGACATGATTGGGCATGTTATGTCTTAAATCAATTTTACAAATTCTTTTTTTTTATTAAATCTTTATTGTTCAGATTATTACATTTGTTCCTCTTTTTTCCCCCCATAACTCCCCTCCACCCAGTTCCCACCCCACCCTCCTCCCTCACTCCCCACCCACTGTCCTCATCCATAGGTGCACGATTTTTGTCCAGTCTCTTCCCGCTATGACATCTATCATTATTATTTTTGGAGCCAATATGTATTAAATAATCATCACGAGGCAGAAAAATTATGCAGGCAATATTCCGATGGCAAATAATGGCAGTAAGATTGTTTAAGGATTTCAGAATTGAGATAAATAAACTGTGATTCATTTAATTTAGACTGTAACCAACAAAGGTTAATCCAGTAAGACAGTACTTAGCTTTTCATTGACAAATGAAGAGAAATAAGTTTGTTCTATTCCAGAGTACAAGAAAAGGGACCTGGTTCTCATAAAGTTAACAGGCTCCTGAGAGAGGAATAGTTGGACATGGCTAGACACTTTGTCTCAAAGATTGATGTCACTAACAGGCCTTGAAAAAACAGCCTGCATTAAGTGTGTAATCAGTCAATTGACTGATTAATCAAAACTCAAGGCATAAAAAGCCCTGTGTGCTTCCTGAAAGTAAACAAATATAATACACAGCTGACATCTGTAATGTACATGCATTTAAGACATAAGTAACTCTTATTTATGATTTCCTAAATAGGGACCAACTTATTCCTCGTTGCTGCTCATGAATTTGGCCATTCCCTGGGTCTCGAACACTCAAAAAACCCTGAAGCTTTGATGTACCCAGTCTACAACTCATCCACAGACCTGGCCAGGTTCCGCCTTTCTCAAGATGATGTCACTGGCATTCAGTCCCTGTATGGTGAGTGATGCTGGGGCAATGAGGCATCCTACCTTCCCATGATGATCGTCAAGAAAGCTTTAAAATGCTGCAGGAAGCATTTGCAGTCAGCTCAAAGCCCTTTGGGAGTGTTTGGGAAGTATATGCCCTGACAGAAGCATCACACGCCTCCTAATGATTGCATCCGCACGTCTGTTCTCTGTAGGACCTCCCCCTGCTTCCCCTGATGACCCTGTGAAGCCCACAGAATCCGCAAGACCTCAGACACCGGCCATGTGTGATCCCACTTTGTCCTTGGACGCTGTCACCACCCTGAGGGGAGAAATCCTGTTCTTTAAAGACAGGTCAGACCAAGAAATTATCTTTTGATGTGCAACGCTTGAAAATGAAAACAAACAGAAACTCAATAGAGGCTTTTACACATTATAAACAGAAATGATTCCTCTGAACTGAAATGATTTGGGTCTGGTGCTCCAATTCCCACATTTTCCTAAAACGGTCTAGTTCATTGTTGAAGACTTACACAGCATGATTTAATTTTTGTCCTGTAATTGTTCCAAATGTTATAAGTCATGGTTGCTTTTAAGTCAGATACTTACACACACATCCGCCTATCTTTTTGAAAACGTAAAAGATGATATATAACATTTACACTGTTTTACATGAGTTGCAGGAATTTAAGGCTTATAGTCAGCCAATTAACTTGCATTGTAGGATAACTTTCTCTTCACAGAAGACGGGTATTCTGTAATCCTATGGCAGGAAGTCCAGTGCAGTTTTCTGAAGAAAAAAGAAAAATATTTTCCCAGTGGCAATATACCTGATCTCTGTCAGTCACCCAGCCTAGAAGCTGAGGGAATGGGGGCAGATGGGTTGGGCAGGAAAATGTGATAAAGATGGAAGACGGTTTTTCAATTTTCACTTCTTTTTACATGTATTCCAGGCACTTTTGGCGCAAATCCCTAAGGACTCTTAAACCTGGATTTTATTTGATCTCTTCGTTTTGGCCATCTCTTCCTTCAGGAATGGATGCTGCATATGAAGTGACTAGCAGGGATATTGTTTTCATTTTTAAAGGTAATTATTATATAATAATTTTTTAACCTGTTGAAATAAACCCTCTCACAGGAAAACTGAATAGGCCTTTAATTTTTTCTATTGTGACTACTTTATTACTCCAGCTAATGATGAAATGACAGAGACTGTTATTACTTTATTTATATACTAGGGGCCTGGTGCACAAAAATTTGTGCACTCGGGGGGGAAGGGGGGGTCCCTCAGCCCAGCCTGTGCCCTCTCACAGTCTGGGACCCCTCGGGAGATAACGACCTGCTGGCTTAGGCCTGCTCCCGGGTGGCAGAGGGCAGGCCCAATCCCTAGGTGGAGCCCCTGGTCGGGCTCAGAGCAGGGCTGATTGGGGAGTTGGGGCGCCGCCCCCTGTCATGCACAGAGCAGGGCGGATTGGGAGGTTGCGATGCCACTCTCAGTCACGCTCAGGGTAGGGCCAATTGGGGGGTTGGGGC